TAAGCGCAAACCAATGGAGGTGTTTTGGAGCAAGTTCGAACCCTCCAAAGACGAGAGAACGTAGAGAACCTAAAGACGAGATGTGAAGGAGGCAGAGGGGACACTGACGGACCCACACACAGTGCGTGGGCAAAGGACATTCTGACAGCAAAGTGGCTGATCACAAGGAGGGGTACCCCGAGCCCGAGCAATCTCTCTCGGGGCAGACTGCCTGTAAGTTAGCATCAGAGGACCCAGGGTGCCGGCAGCAGGAGCTCCTACTTCAGTGCTGGCTGTGGACCCCGCGTTCCTTTCCAACAAAGGGCCCTGGACTCGAACAGAACATTTTGCTTTTAAACCGCAGATCATGTTTAAGTAGGAAGTGATGGTAACTCAAGGCTCCAAAGTCAAAGATCAACTGTAACTGCGTGTTTTTTTGAAACCATACAGCCACTTTAGATGCATTATTTAGAGAGTTGGTGTTCCAGCACCTTCGTGATTTTACAGGGTGTACAGAAAGGGAGAAGAGTGCAGAGGGAGCCATTTCCAACCCATTCATGAGTAAAACAGAGAAGAAAGTGCTTTCTTACAGCAAACAGGAAAGTGAAAAGCCAGGACAGCAGGCCGTTTCAGGGCTCCCCCACCCCTGGCCCTGCGTGGAGATGCCCCCGCCAGCCTGTGAGGACGGCGCGGGAAGCTTTTCCATTTTCTGCCCGCTGGCTGCCTAGAACCCTACATTATTGAGCTGGGCAGCCCTGAGGAGTCCCCGGTCCGCCTCTGATACCCCCGAGGGCGAGAAGGGGACTGCCCACGGGTCACAGTATGGCACACACATTTTCAAGCCTAGAACTGAAGAGAGAGAGATGTTCGCCATTCAGTTTATTCAGGCAACATTTTGGCTATTTTCAGTGTGGATAGCTACGCTTAAGAACAAGCATGAACCTATTGAGAATTCAGAGGTAGCCTTTATCTGCATCTCTTTCTTTTTAAACTAAAAGGTATTTAGAAACCACCTTCTGTAGTGATTTGGCTAAGCCGATACATTCACTTTAGACAATAAAATGGCAAAACGTAACCAACAAAGCATTAGGGAGGGCACCGCGATGGCATCGAACACACACTCATGACCAGTTCGGGTCTAAAAGCTCCTGTGTGTGTCCGATTCTGGGTAGCCTGACCACAAACAATTACACACTGTGGGCTGGAGCATGTACTTCTAATCTAGCAATATCACAAGGCATAAAGGAACAGCACTGGATTTCAGGTCTCTCTAGCATCTACCTATGTATGGGATAAGCCGCAAATGACACTTTTGACACCACAGCGATCTCATGTCTTCAGAACGGTGGCTGACCAGAGAGAAGCGAGGGGGGCCCCTCGCTAGCTGTCTGTTCACACTGGCCACGCAGGGGCTTCCTATCCAGACCGTCAGATGCTGGATGGGACCGGAAGAAAATGCATCAAGGAGCCATGGGAAAACAAAAAGGAATTAAACAGACCCAAAAGTGTTCAAAGGCTTTACAATGAATCCTCTTAAAATCAAATCTTCAGACCTCAAGGGGAGAGCGGACTCTCCTTTCAACAGACTGCAAACTTCCTTTCTGTGAAACAAGAACACGAGGCTCGTTTGTCCTTCATGAATGGTCAACAGACGCGGTTATGGAAGCAGAGCAGAGCCCACGCGGCTCTAACACATAATACTGGAAACGTGGCCGTCCCTACAACAGAGCGACGTGTTGTGTTCATATCATTTTTGCTAACCTAAATCTATTTACAATCGTTTCAAACAAGTACAGCAGATGCAAAGTTGGACATAATAAAAAGGAAGTTGTCAAAAAATCAGTGCAATTATTTTGAGTTGAAAATTTTCCTTACAAAAGAGTCAGCATGTGTGTGTCACAGAGAGTTAACACGCGCACTGTGTCTACACTGAACACACGTCACCGCAGCCGAGCCTGCAGGCAGGGCAGCTAGAGAGATTCTTCTCGGTTACTTTGGGGAAGGGTTTAAAATATAAATAAAATACTTGCATTCTGAAAGTGAGGCGCACAAACACTGAGGAAGTTTCTGTTTATTGTACATTCCTTTCTCATGAGCGTGAGAGATGAGTCAAAGAGAGGTCACAGGGAGATTTCTATGGCTTGTCTGGGCCACTGGGATTGTCCACTGTCTGGATTATGTCAACTTCTAAAGCTCCTCCTAATGGAACTGCCTTAAGTGTGGAAAATGCCCATGAAAAATCCTTTTAACTGTCCACCAGATCAAAGTCCCGTTGAAGGAGTACATCCAGATCCTGACGGCTCCACGAAACAAGCCAAGTGCTTCCATGACGACGAGCAACCGAGAGAAGCCGTCCCAGCCCCCCAGGCCCCCTAGAGACAGTCTGGGTCCCAACTACTGCAGGACGCTTGGCTGGTCTACCCTTAACATATTGTATCAAATATATAATTTGACTGAAAAACTGCCTTGTAAAAATAAAATTTAAATCACCCTGCAGATCAATGTAAAATTACATTGCCGCATATATAAGAAAAACAATTCATTCAGAAAAGTTACATTTGTGGCTTTCAAAAATAAATCATCCGGCAAACTTGCAGGTAAACATTAGGCAATTTATAAAAGTTGGGGAAAATAATTTCTATCATATCCATCAGGTACCACATGCACTGGGATATCCACATCGGCCAAATCGAACCAGAGCAGAAAGAAAAAAATAAATAGCAACATTTGCATTTAACAACAATAAAAATAACATATAATATAACATCAGTAAAAGCAACCCCCCCCCCCCCCCCCCCCGCTGTAGGAACTGAACTCCAACTGTCTTTTCCAACGAGCACTCCGTGACCAGGGGTAAACATCAGTAATAGCAGTGACCGTGGCCAACCTCCCAGAACACGGACATCACTCCGCTCCTGCCGCGTCCCTCTCGGGCCAACCTGCTCAGTGGCCAGGGGTCGCCTGTGTCTCTAGAGAGCAAACATTCATCCAAGGGAGTGTGAGTACACTACCGAAAAGCAACGTCACCTTAAAAAGTAAAAGCAGACCCTACGATGTCGTATCAAAAGTGTGTATGGGAAGACTTCTCAAAACCAAAACCAAAACCAAACAATCCCTTTCTAAAAGCACACGTGTGCCCAGTTTTACAAAAATGTATCAGAACTAGGGAAGTCTGAGCTTGGAGAACACAGGCAGGATGGAATCTCAGCGTCACCAAAGGGCACTTCCACGACGCGGCGGCCGTCCTCGGCTCCCCTGGGCTTCCTTCATTGCTCTGTCACTAGGGTGATGGGAGGCCGGACAGAATGGACAGTGATGAAGGGGTGGGAACGGTCATTCTTCTTAAAGTGAACATTTTAAAATCTACTAGGAAGAGTACCAGTAAAAGAATCTGATCGGGAGACCTCTTTTAAAGAGACGAGATAAATCCCAGTTTTTCTTTTAAATGAATCCAGATTTCTACATCATAATTTTCACATTCAGTTTGCTTAAAGCAAGGCACACCTTACTTAACAGTGGGGTAGGGCAAAGCCAGCGCGCAGACGCCTCTCAAATCTGCAAGGGCCCCAGGCCTCGGGCGACCAAGCGCAGGCGGAGGACGGAGCTACCCTGGGAACCTGAGCCCTCTTGGGGCCACGGAGGCCGAGGCAGCCCTTGGGGTGGGAGCAAGCACAGTTAGAGACGGGCAAGGGCCCCTTTTGGCTTCCACGGGAACTGGGCTCAGACTTAGTCTACTGCACTTTGAGGTTTTACGCTATCTCAAAATTTATCCTAATAATGGGGGCACCGGTAGAAATTTGGGAAAACAATTATTTACCTGAGAAATTGTAACTACAGCCATTTGAATTCTGAATCATCAGATGCGTACAAAGGTGTGCAGCTAAGCTAGCTGGAGACGTTTGGTCTATTAATGCTTTTAGTATTAAAAGTTTTATAAAACAAGCACAGGGCTACAAAGAGAACCCTTCTCAAAGTACTCTGGCCCATTAAAATTAAAACCTTTCCTTCAAAATGATAAAAAAAAATTTCCGATCTAATTTTCTGCCAGCATGCGATCTCTCCTGGGTGTTGCCTTCACGAGCATCTGCCTGTGCTGCCAAACGGCCCCTCCCCGCTGGGCCCTCGTGCTCGGGGGAGAGGGCTCCTCAGAAAGCTCTGGATCAGGGGTCCTCAGACTTGAGGCAGCCCTGGAGCCCCAGCTGATGGTATCAAACACAGACGTCCAGCCCCGGCCCCGGAGACCCGGGGTCAGGAGTCTGCATTTTTACCAAGCACCACCACCAGCCCAACCACCCGGACCCTGTTGCGGGGAGTAAAAACACACCTTTGAGACACATGGTTCTAGATGATCCTAAAAATGGCTGAAAACTAACCTCATTTTAGATTTCAAAAGTGTATTAGTGAAAAGACTCCCCCCTTAGCTGGAATGCTCCCGGTAATTTAAGCCAAGAGTGTATTGGTGTCCTTCTGAAAGAGGAGAAAGTGCCACTTGCCAATAAAACAACAGGGAATTGCAACATTTCTTAGAGCAGAGGCTTCTGTTCGTTTAAAAAGACCAAAAAAAAAAGAAAAAGAAAAAGAAAAAAACAACCAACCAAACAAAAAAACAAACCCAGAAACAAAAGATACAGCAAGAAGAGGCTAATGCCATTAATAAGACACCCACATGCACACACAGACACACACACGCACACATCACTCTGAGTATATATCTTCACAAATAATAGTCACCCCTTTGTCATCGCCACCCAAATCTCGGCCGAGCGTCCACCACAGCTCCGCCCGCGGTTCCCTGCCCCTCCCGCGCCCCAGAGCCGGCAGACAAGAAGACAGGGTGGGCGCTATCTCCAGCACGAGGCGCCCCGTCGGGACCCTCGCCCCACCGCAGTGCCAGAGGTAAATGTCAGGCTGGGCTTGGGGGGGGGGCCGTCAGCAGGGAGAGGGAAACCGACAGAGCGCAAAGCAGCACTAGGGGAAGGCGCGTCTCCTTCCCGGCATCTCTACACTGAACGTGGATTTGATTTTTTTTTTTTTTTTAATTGTCTACAAGGACAAACAGCCCACTTAGCACAAACAGAGTTGTCCGCTGTTACCCCTTTTCAAGCTGTCCATGGTATCACGCTTAGTGCCACGGCTTCTAGATGGGCAAACCCACGTCTGGGGCCCCGAACGCAAATCCCTTCTGCCGGCCTTGCAGCCAGCCACCTCCGAGGGCCGGGGCTCACCGCGGGGCCGCCAGCTCTCTGCGCGTTTCAGTGCATAGATCCTACGAAACTCGTCTAACAGAACCATACACAGAGAGAGGTACACTCTGACACATGGACTTGTTTCCCAGGAATGGAAGAATAAATACATTCCGTTTGTGCTTCATCGGCTGAGCAACACGCGGGGACAGGAGGTGGGGCGGCGGCGGCACGGGGCTGCTGTGCCCGCGCCCGGTCCTCCTGAAGGTACAAGGCTACGCAGTCGACGCGGGGGAAGGCGGGTGGCGGTCACATTGACTCAAGTGCGTACTCCTGTACGTCAGCACTGAGAACCACAGGAGGTGGTCCAGTCACCAGGCTCCCAAACACTCGTGATATGCTAAACAGATCACAATAAGCACCCCGTAGTCAATAAAATGAAAAACAGCATCTATCTATCACATTAATACTGCAAACCAGATATATATATTTTTTCTCTTACATTAAAGACATAACAGTGAAAAAGGATTGTACTGTATTTATCACCACAGACCCGTATTCTTTAGAAACTTTGGAAAATAAATGTCACAGTCCTATAGGACAAATCTTACGATTAGACTGTCGGCATACTGTCTTTTTTCTTTTTTTAAATAAATTTTTATTAAAATGGCACTTGTCTGCCAATCGCTCTGGACCTATAAATGTTGTAAACACACACGGCCCATCTTCTGCCCCCGCTCCTTATTTCGAGCTGGGCGAGAGGCGGGCAGTGGCGGTTCCAGACGCTGGCGGGCGCCTCGGCGGGCCACCTGCCCTCGGTCCCGAAGAGCTGGCGCCAGCCCTGTCAGGGGCACGCTAGTACCACTCTGACATAAACTTTAGTGACCACCTCAGAATGCTCAAGGCTTTAAAACCACAGCTGTGCTCTGTGTTGCTTTCACTCTCTGAGAACGTTCACAGCTAGTTTGAGCCCACCAATTCCATAGAGAATCATGTGTTAAAAACAAGTAAATTGAATGACCAAATAAATTAAAAATGTTTTAAAGCCCTGAGTTCATAGACTGGTTTTAGGAGATTTTTAGGAAACACGGGACTCTATTTTAATAAGCAGCTTATAGATTTTGGCAAACCATATTTCCTACGACAATGGGGTCTCATACAGGTCTGCAGTTCAAAATCCAAGTTTGAAATCTGGGACGGAAGGCATTCTGGAAAATGGAGAATCTACTAAAATCAATGACGTCTCATGTTCGATGCTGGCTGTCACGGAAGGGCTGGGCATCTGTTGGTCTGAGTGTAGCTGGTCTCATGTGAATCCAACTCGGTACACAATCGTAAACACTAAAACATGTCAAGCAAAGTACATGGTGCGCAGGGTGTCCTGATGAACCTGGACTGCCTTTGCCAACGCTTGGTGGTCTCGTCCATTACTCTGCCCGGAGGTATGGCTTCCTTCAGCACTGCGGGGACGGGAGGACAGAGAGAGAGAGAGTGCAGCCTTTAATGCACCACGAGGCAGAGCGCTGATAACAAGTTAAGACGAGGCACCAGCTATCTGGGGAGGTGGCCACGCAGCGACCAGGCAGCGGGGAAGAGGCGGGCACCTGGGCGTCTGTGTCACGCTCGGCTCCAGCCGACGGGGCCCCCCTGCTTCCCACTCTGAAAGCGCAGCCACCAAAGCCGGCCTCAGAAGCGACCCCTGCCGTGCCCCCAGCCGGGAAAGGCACACCACCCACCTGTCATGTTCTTTGTCCACCAGGTGGTACCTGGCCCGGAAAGCCACCAGGTGGGCGTAGTATGCTGGCGCCGGGATGGACACGGATCGCGTGCAGCGCACGTAGGTGTGACACAGCTGGTAGGTGAGAATCTGCAGCTCGTCGGAAGAGAAACGATTGTCATCCCAAAGCACGTGATAGTGGGAAGGCCTGCTTGTTCCCTAAAAGCAGATCAGAGGGTCAGAGGAGTGAACGTGCGAGAAGTCCAGAACTCACCTACACGAGGGCACTGCTGACAAGCCACGCTTCCGTCACCCTCTGCACGGAGGACTCAGTGGGAGAACGCTTAGGGGCAAAAACCTGTGGGCCCCTTCACCGGTGGGCAGAGGCCAGCAGTCTTGAGGTGACGATGGGGCACATGGTGACCTTCCCTGTACGTCCTGCAACGTGTGTGGCGGGAGACAAGGCCGAACCCCGCTATGTGGGCAGGAGCGGATTCTGAGCACATCCGTCACCTGCCGCCCTTCCCGCGGCCTTGTCACCACTCCGACCTCAGCTCGTTCGCTAAGCTCCGGGTGCACGGGACACCCTGGACCCCACTGGTGCCCCTGGCCGCTGCACCCACTACTTGCGCCTGACCTCATCTCACCTAAAATGGGAACCCTGACCAGAGCACGCCAGTGGGTCCTTCCTCCCCAGCACCCCACGCCCCCCACCCTTACCTGTCCCCTGGCTACCCGCCCAACTCCCCTACGCGCCCACTGGGGTGCTTGCAGGAGGCTTGTGCTCCGTGTCTGCGGGGCATGTGGCCCACGTCACGGGGACACCGAGACTGGGCAGCGGGGGCCTGTCCTTACCTGGATGCCGGCGTGACTACACAGGTAGAAGTCAAACTCGGTCGGGTGCGTGATTTTCGTGTCCACAGTTGTGCCTGCTGGAATGTTTCCACTTTTCCCAACCTTCGGCAATACAGGAACCCGTCAGATGTGTCCAGGGACCACAACGGAAAGCAAGCAAGCACGTCAGTCTCGCTCACACCACCTTCGGACGCTGGGCCTTCCTGACCACAGGTGGCCCTATCTCGGCATCTTTAAGTTGGCTAACTAACACATTGGCTCGGCGCAACGGCATTAAAAGAGAACCTAACCGATACTAACCCCTAGAGGTAAGTAAGTTCCTGTCCTATGAGGGCTGGGTTTTCTCCCCCCAGGTCTCGTAAAGGGAGAGAAGTGCAGCTGTCTTCCCTTCACTGAAGAATCTGCATGTAACGCTCGAAGGGCTCTTCATTCCCGTGGAGGTCACCGACATACAAATCTAAAACCGTGCATGATGGGCACCTGACGGGCCATCATCCACGCACAAACACACCCAATATTCAAGGCAGAAGAACGAGAACACCCTGAAGGCGGTCAGGAGCATCTGCACTTGGTCGGTGGCTCAATCACCACCACCCAAGAGTGCGGCATGCTGGTCCCCCCGAGACCGTCCGAAAAGCAGGGGGATGGACTGGGCTACACATGATATCAAACCACTTAACTCTAAGTTTACATTCTAGTATCACAAAGTCACTGAACACCCAGCTACTGCTACTGGGCCAGCAACGCCGCCAAAGCTCTAGGACCCAACCCATGATCAGTAAGTCACTGACCTTTCAGTTCTGCAATTTTCAAATACACATACGCGCGCGCGAATCCCCAGTGTAACTCCTGTGCACCTTCAGATATGTATTTTACTTCTTGCCAACTTTTTTCACACCTTCCTATTTTTAAAAGTAAAATATTTGAAAATAGTGCCCCCCCCTTTGCTTCCCTTCCACGTAGCAGTCTCAGATTTAGCCTTTGTCATTCCTACATGTACTTTTATTTTTCCCTACACATTTAAGTCTCCATCAGCACTATACTGTGTTACTTCACAGGTTTTCCAACTGTGCATGGGTATCATATATATTCTGCTACTTGCTGTTTTTGTTCAATATTTACGATTTGGAGATGTATTCATGGGATACACAGAGTCTATCCTATTTACCGCTGGGCAGTGTGCCAGCATAGGAATACACCACGACCCTTACTCCTGTTAGTAGACAAAGTTTTTGCTATCAGAAACAACGCTGCAATAAATATTCTTATACTTGTCTCCTTATACACACGCAGGTGGGTTTCTCAAGGGCTAGAATTACCAAACTGCATCCAAGTTGGCTTATCAGTCTGCACTCCCATCGAAAGCACAGGAGAGTCTTCATATAATGCACTTACTCTGTGCCAAGGATGATGCAAAGTGCTTAGTGTGTTAGCTCAGCTCACCTTCCCAGCATCCTTAGGAAGGTGCGACAGGGAGGCTGACATCCGTGGTGATGCAGCCCAGATGCTGAGGGGTGGGCTATAGCCAGGCTGTCCGGCTCCAGACCCAAGCTCCTGACCATGGCCCAGCACCCACATCCTTGCCGACACTTTGCTATTACCAGGATAACTTCATGAGTCCCCCCAACATTTCCCATTCTCTGAAAAATTTTGTGTAAGATTATTCTTTGATGGTTTGGTAAAACTTGCCTATAAAAAATCTGCATAAACTTCACAAAATAAGATAAGTACTTTCTCCTTTTTTCCTATTCTCTGCCACACTTTAAGATCATCCATTCTTGAAGGTTTGGTAAAGCTTGCCTGTAAGACTCTCTGGGCCTGATGCCTTTTGGAAATGAGGATTAGATTATCCTCCAGAGCTGATTTCAGTAATTTATGTGATTCCACAAACAACTCTTTGTATCTATTTCTTCTTACTCTTCTAATGTATCTATCAGCATAAAGCTGTTACTATCCCATGATGATTTCAGTAACACATCCCCCTTCTGGGTCATAGTCCTCTTTTTGCTTTTAATATTGTTACAAATACCCTTTTTTCCTTGTTGAGTCTTGCTAGGTTTACCCATCTTCAAAGAAGCAGGTTTTGTTTGTGTTCATCTGCTCTGTCTTCTTCATATTCTCCTTCATTATCTCCCATTCTGAGAGGGGCTGGGGGTAGGAACAAGCCAACTTGGAGCCCCCGTGACTCATGGCAGGGGCAGGTTACAGGCGGAGGAGGGAGGGAGCCCACGCACACCGGCTCCTCAGCCTTCCCTCCGCGCCCGGGACTGGCAGCTCTTCTGTCCTTCCTGTACCTTCAGCCTCACTGGGTGGTTCTTCTTATTTTCCGACAGATGTATCGAAGTCTAGCCTCTTCTCTCCAAGAACCGCTTCAGCTGCACTGCATAAAGTCTGACATGAAATTCTCTTTTTATTCAGTTCTGATTACTTTGTAATTTTTATTCCCTTTGCATGTTTAATGTGTGTGCTACTTAGAAGTGAATTTAAAATTAGAGTCTTTCTTAAATGTCTTTCTAGTTCTACTGCTGATTTAAAATTTAGTTGTATGATTAAAAAAAAAATAATGTGGGTTGCCCAATACTGAGGTTTGGAAATCTCCTGAGATCTCCTCGTGACCGGGTACAAGGCAACTTTCATAAGCCTTCCACGTGAACTCGACTGTCAACGGCTGCACGCTAACCGTGAGACCCGGCCTGGTCACTTCACCCTGCCAGTCTCTAGCTTTTACCCATCTGTGGCTGCCCCAGCGTCTGACACTGGGCGGTTAAACTCGCCCTCTCTGACAGTGGGTTTGTCAGCTTCTCCTGGGAATTCTGTCAGTTTTTTGCTACACTGTATTTTTTTCCCTTTATACATATTTTTAGGTCACTGCATTAGGTACGTCCAAGCTCGCAGTTGTTCTATCTTCTTGGTGGCTCACCCCTGTGACTGTGACAAAGTGTCCCTGTCTCTCACTAGCGATCTGTACTTTGTCTTTCGCTTAGACAATGAGCATTTCTCCCTTGCTGTGCCTTCTCTGGCCAGATGTGAAGCAGCTGCAGGGCTGCTGGCTCTCACTGCAGTGTCTCCTTCCCTCGGGGGATGTCCCTTTTCTCAGGCATCTACCTGATGCTGGGTGGTTTAGGACAATAGTCCATGTGTAGGATTATTTTTATTTCTCCTGGTGGAAACATGGAAAATACTTGTGACAGGAAGATCCCTACCTTTCTTCAACTGTCAGATCTCTCAGCTGTTGTATCTAGAAACCCTGCCTCTCCCTCATGCTCATTCTTCTTATTCTGGAACGGCCGGGAGGTGCACCCGAGAACGGGCTCCCCCGGAGCCGCCTTCAGCACTCCAACCTCCCCCAAGGGTCCCCAGTTTGCGGTACCCCACCTACTCTGCCCATTGCCACGGCTGCCACAGCCTGTTTCAGAGCCAGCTCTCTGGTAATTTCTTTACTGGACAAATGATGTCTCCTGCCCGCTCCTGTCCCAGGCCCGTGGGATTTACGGGTCCAAACGTCTCACCAGACCGAGGAGAGCCCCTCTCCGGCGCCGAAGGCTGGGTCTCCGTGAAGCCCCTCTGCAGCGTGGCTCTGGGCGAGGGCTGAGCAGAGACCCGTGTCCCTCACGGCCCCACAGCCCAGGGCCAACCTCGGGCCGCTCCTTCAGCCCCAGAGCCTCACCCTCTCGTTCTTGTCGGTGCAGAAGAGCCGCGTGTGGTGCCTTTTCTGTACTACTATGAAGGTGATCCCCGGCTGGTAGTCCTTTTCTAACTTGATGCACGCCTCGCGGATGGCCAGCAACTCGTGGTGGAGAACCTGAGGGAAAGGAAAGCCGTTTAAGGATGATTCTCTTTTTACAGCCTCTCTCTACCTCAGAATAAATCCCTTAATGACACGCGCTATCTGCCCAATACGTGCAGTTCCGGGGTTTGGGCTCCCCTGGCTTGGGATTAGCGGCGCGACTTTGCCTTTCTGCTTTCGGGTTTTTTTTTCATTTATATAATTGAGCAGATGAGACCCAGGTTTCATAGCTAAATGGTTTAAACTAGATAATGCATAAAACTGCTCAGCACGGTTTCTGGAATGTTCTAAGTGCCCCATAAATGGCACCCACCATGGGCAGGAGTAATGCGGCACAAAGGGAGACATAGACAGGAACAAATCAACAACTCGTTCTCTCTGCGGGAGAGGAGGAACGCACACTGGCCCAGGAGTTAGACCTGAGTTCAAACCCTAGCCCTACCGCCAAGCAGCTGTGTGGCTCCGGGAAAGCCACCGATCCTCTCCGACGCCCAGTTGTTTTCACTTTTAAAATGGGAACATCCTACCTTGCAGGCTTGCTGCGGAGACTGAAGTTAAGTACAAAGCGCTTGCATGTAAGTACCCGGGAGACAGGGTACAAAGACAGTAAGACACTGTTCTCACCATCTGGGTCAGAGATAAACAGGCAAACAACCTATCACGCTGTGATGAGGCCATTACAGGGACACACACCTCAGATTTTTAAACACTGCCCGAATTAAAATCGTGCTACGATGTTTCCAACGTGTCTTGGGTTCCGCGTTGAGAACCCAAGCTGTGGGGATTCCGTAAGGTGTGGGCTTTGTTCACAGAGCGAAAAACACAGAAGGCACTGACCCCTCTCCAGCAGGGGGGGAGCTCGTGTCCCTCCCGTCCTGCCTCATCCCTGCCCCGTCCTGCCTCGTCCCCCCCCCGTCCTGCCTCGTCCCCCTCCCGCCCTGCCTCGTCCCTCCCGTCCTGCCTCGTCCCGCCTCCCACGCGCGGCCGCATGAGCCGTGGGGCGGAATGGACGCCACGTCACTGTGTCCATCGGGGAGCCCGGGAGGCCACTGTGCAGGATGGATGGGTGACTCTCGGGCATTCTGAGACCCCAGGCAGAGAAAACTGCGAGGCGCCCACCTGCTGGAACTGGCCCTCAGAGACGCCGTCGCGGTAGAAGATGATGCGCGTGGGCTTGAAGCGCGTGGACTTGTAGAACTGGATGAGGAGCTCGCGGACCATGGTGGCCAGGTCCTGGATGATCTCCTGACGGTGCTGCTGAACCCGCACAGTGGCGCAGTAGCGGTTGGGGTGCGCGTCCATGCTGCCCACGACCTGCCGGGGCGAGGAGGAGCGCTGCTCTGGCTGTGCCCGGAGCGCGGGCGGGGACACGTCGCCACCCCAGCCCCACGGCGCGGGAAGGGGCAGTGGCCTGTCGGAGGCGATCTGCTGCCTTGGTGGGGTTTTTGGGACGTGGGCAGTAATGTTTATAAACACAGGACAAAGAGTAGCAGCTGCTGAGAGTGTCTAACAACGTGGGCAATTGGGCGCCTGGGGGGCTCAGTCGGTGGAGCGTCTGCCTTCGGTTCAGGTCATGATCCCGGGGTCCTGGGATTGAGCCCCGCGTCGGGCTCCCTGCTCGGCGGAGAGCCTGCTTCTCCCTCTCCCACTCCCCCTGCTTGTGTTCCCTCTCTTGCTGTGTCTCTCTCTGTCAAATAAAT